TTTTAAGATAAATTGTTATTACTCTTGAGGTTTGACGTTTGAACCTCTTGCTGTGCTCAGCTCTAGACACATTTTCATATATTAATTTTCAAAATTCTACTTGTTTTTCGATAAACAATAGCGATACACAAAAGTTTAGGTATGCAACGAAATTTAAAAACTTTAAAATTTCGGCTTTGTTATTGTTCAACAAAAATGGTAGACGATTAGAACATGCTCACAATTTATTGCAGTTAGGCTTCAGGTCCGATAGTTTCATTAATTCTACCTGGGATATACCCGTACAGGAATTCTCTTACAGATTAACGGTATTGAGTATTTTATAGCGACTGTTTAACAATATTTTAGAAAGAAGTTAAAAGAACTTACTTTACGTTGGTAATATTCTAATTAATGAAATCTGACAATATACTCGATTTTTTGGGATTTGTGGTTTCTCAGTTGTAGCTTAATATACGATAAATAAATTATAAAACGATCTTAAAAATTACATTACAGTATAAAATTAAAATATTAGTTATTTTATGTTGACCGCACTAAAATTATTAATACTGTTTTATTCTGTCACGGTATTATTAAATAAGCAGAGGATTAAATAGACTCGTGCTATTTTCAGTTTTACAAAAAAAAATTTTCTTCTTTTGTATCTTTCTGTAACACCTTTTCGTATCTAAAGATAAAGGATAAAAGTGAAATGAGAAAAGATAAGATTTTTATAAAAATTACTGGTAAATAACAATTATCAACATTAATGCACAGCCCTCCATTGTCATTAACATAGATCATAAGAAAATCAAAATCTGAAGAATACATTCCACATTGCGCACTATATGTATGTACATTGTTGGACAGAATCACTTCAAGAATTACATATTTCAAAATTCGAAATCATCGATCATCAGATATAATAATACATAAGTAATGGAATTTACAATTAAAAGTGTACTCAAGGGTAAATATCAGTGAAAATTATTGCGAACCTTGCAAAAATGAGTTATACCAAATTTTTATAAAACTATTTTATTTACAATTTTGAAAAACATGTAATACCTTCGTTTCAATTATTTTGCATATATAGTATTAATTTTTAAATATGTTTTTTTTTTGTTCTTTATTGACGATTAAAATTGACTAATCTGTTTGGATAATATCAGCTATAAAAGTGTTAAGTTTATATTATGTACATTCATCGCGCCAAGTTTTAGGCTAGAGTGCTTAAATTAATTACTTGATTTTAACTTCAACGATATTTTGTCTTATTTTTAAGGTTTCGCTTTAGTGGACGTGTTCTAGGATTAGCATTGGTTCATCAATATTTACTGGATGCTTTCTTTACAAGGCCTTTTTACAAAGCTCTCCTTAGACTGCCAGTAGCGTTATCCGATCTGGAAAGTTTAGATTTCGAGTTTCACCAGTCGCTTCAATGGATCAAAGAAAACGACGTATCTAATCAAGGAGAACTAGAACTTACGTTTTCAGTTACTGAAGAGGTTTTCGGTCAAGTTCTGGAAAGAGAGCTCAAACCGGGTGGAAGAAATGTCCCGGTAACCGAAAAGAATAAAAAAGTATGTACAAATAATTACTAATAAAACAAGTTTCTTTATAAAGCTAGAACAATATCAAAATATTTCAAGTTAGAGACATGATTTGTATTTATTCAATCAGAAATGAAGTTGAATTTTTGCGTTTTTGCAAAATCGACATATAAAGGGTAAAGAACAAGTGTTGAGTTGTATGGGAATTTTTAAATATACAGGATATACCAAGAAATCCTTTACTTTAAGAAGTAAGAATGAAAATCAACATTCGTAGTACTTTGATATGAACTTTTAATGTATAATATTTTCAATCAAGATTCACTTCCGTTTATACCAGAAATAGGTACTAATTTTGTTGATTTGAATTGTCATTTTCGAGTTTCGAAACGATTGTACAAACGTATAAGAATATGGATAAAAACGATGTTTTTTTAATATTCTATTTAGAAAGTTTCTGAAAGGTACAACGTAAACTTACGGGTAGTAGCTTCAAACTTTCCATTTTGAAAGATAACTGTCTACTTGTGTTAGAAATTAGAAAATTAGATTTTTCAATTTCATAGATGGTCTATGACCTTATCCATTACATGTTTGCTATAACTTTGTAATAGAGTAAAATTTTCTTAATGTTTTTTTTGAAAAATTGTAAAGAATAAAAAAATAAAAATTGTAAAAGATACGATATTTTGAAAATTTCAAACTTGCCCTGTATTACACTTAACATTTGATAATTTAAAACATATAAAGGTATCTTTGAATATTAACAGGCTGGTACTGGGCGGTCGACCGAAATCCTAATAATAAATCGCAAATATACAACGTTACTATAAAATTTAAAAATATTTATGAATATATCGTTTCCTTTCAGGAATACTTGGAACGAATAGTAAGATGGCGACTGGAAAGAGGAGTAGCTGAACAAACAGAGTGCTTAGTCAGGGGCTTTTATGAAGTTGTAGATCCTCGACTAGTTAGTGTTTTTGATGCTAGGGAATTAGAGCTTGTAATGGCAGGAACTGCTGAAATAGACCTTGTCGATTGGAGACAAAACACTGAATATAGAGGTGGTTACCATGATCAACACCAAGTAGTTATTTGGTTTTGGCAAGCAATTGAAAGGTAATTGTTTGTTTGAAAAGGATGCAATATGTGTGACGAAATATAATTGAGTTTCTCTTTACAAAAAGTTGTATTTTATTTTATAAATTGGTAACTACCAGGTTTCTACTTTAAAAAATGCAAGGGCATTGTTTTAATTTTAATATTATGGTACCATTATTGTATTACAATAAATTAAGTATTTCAAATATTAAAGCAATGTTGAGAAACGGCAATAAAATAAAATTTCTCATAACTGGACATTAAAAATTTTAATAATTGCCTACATCTGCGCGTTAAATAATTTGATATAAAACAGTTTGATTTTGCAGGTTTTCAAATGAGCAAAGACTACGTCTCCTTCAGTTCGTTACTGGAACATCAAGTATTCCATATGAAGGCTTTGCAGCTTTAAGAGGCTCCATCGGTCCCCGTAAATTCTGCATAGAGAAATGGGGTAAACCCAACAGTTTGCCTCGCGCGCACACTTGTTTTAATCGCCTTGATTTGCCTCCATATCCAACTTCAGAAGTCCTACATGAAAAATTGCTCTTGGCTGTTGAAGAGACCAACACTTTTGGAATTGAATAAGCTGCTTCGATAACACACTCTTACTTGATAGAGAAAAAATTGTTTTACTTCAAGCAAAGAATCAGAAGACAATATTCGAAAATCTGTAGGCATTGCTCACTATTGGAGCAGGATATTTTATAGCCGATTAAGGAAGCTAAACAATAGATACAAGTAATATACAAGTCATTTACCGAAGCTTCCCATAAACGGATAGCTTCCACGTGGTTTTCATACCAAAACAATCAGTGTCTGCATTACTGATTACTTATATAGTTACCAATGTGTAAAATTAGTATTTTCTGTCTATTACCACAACCTTATTTACAGTAATTCCTCAGAATTACGTAATAAATGGTACTAATCGCAACTGAGAAGTATAAAGTAAATTTTTCTTAAATCTAATTTCAAATAAATATATATCCAAAGTTATTTACCGCAGCTTTGTATCAAAAAAATAACAGATTGCAGAAGTATGAAACATGATAATATGAAGCGAATTTTGCTGCATGCTTTCTAGGAAAATATACTGATATAATTATGTTGTATTTTTTGACTATCCTGAAACAAAATGCTTCAACAAATCAAACATACATATTTCAGAACGTTTATTAAGCTATGAGTTATTCTATTATTAGAATAATCCGTACATCCCCAATCACTTAATTGCTTTTGATTGATATATTTCTCTGTAAAAAAATACTACATAATAAACGGTGCAGACATTTGATATACATTTAGCTAATTCGGTTGTTCATAATGAACAAACCGACAAACTCCTGGCACAAAATATCCAAGTATGCTCTTTTTTGAGCACTTAAATGTGTAAGAATATGTGATGATTTATAGTTCTAGTCAACGCATTAAATGTTATTTTTACATGCGAAAGATAACGCTAATAGATTAACAAATTTATTATTTATGTTTTAAAACTTAATAATACGGTAATAACATTATCGATAATGTGTTGCTATCGTTTATTATTCCAAGTGCATTTTATAAGTTGTTCAACTGTAACAGCAAAATTTGTATTTTGTTATTTGTATTTGAATAAGTGCCACTTAGAATATTTATTCAATGTTTATGTATAGCTCTTTGTAAAGTTTAGAAAATATACACTGTTTTCACTAATTATTTTTTTTTCGCTAAATGAAAATAATTATTTTTATAAAAAACAAATAGAATCTATAAACGTTCTATTAAATACACAAGAAGAATAATTAAACAGTCTAGCATATAATTATAATAAAATTAAGCAATACAACCTGCATAACTGTTTAAATGTTACACAAACACGACTACTTAACGTATATGATGTTAGTAACAGGTTTGAAAATTCATATAAATTATGTACTTATATCAACTTTAATTATAATCTACAACAAAAAACAGAAAATTTTGTATGTGCACAAGGGCCGTCAATTAGACGACCAAAACCAAACAAATGAAAAATAACCAATTAATATGTATGTTAACAACAATGCACCCTAAATAATTAGTTATTAACAAATCTTATTGCCTTCATATACATTTAATGAGATTTTAACAAAACAAGAAACTATTGCTATTTGTGCTGAGCTCTTAAAGTTATAAACAAATAAAGCACTATCATATAAATATAGTAAAATATTGAGTATTAAAAAAATATTGCGTAATAAATCATGGATGTTAGAACAATATAATTTTTAAAAATGTTCAGATTTTCTTATGAAAAAACTAAAAGACTAAAATAGCAAAATATTTTATTGTAACCAGACATGACTTCTCTGTGAAATTTTAAGTCAATCAAACAACTGAAGTGAGTAAAGAAAANTTCTATAAAAATTAATAAAAAGAAATAATTATGAATTATTATTAATACCTTACTTTGTAATTTTCTCAGGACTTGCAAGTGTCCGTCAAAATGGTACATTTATGTTTAATTTGAAGAAGAAAGAGCAAATTTTGTACAAACTAATTTAATATTTTAATTTAAAGCTATAGAAAACTTTTTCAACAAATGTACAATTTCAAAATTTAACGTTTTCTTGTATTACCTGTGCTTTTCGTTTAATAAACAACAAACTTAAATGCAAGTTTGGTTTGATTAGTGAATATTCAAAAATTATATCTTTAAAAGCTTTTCAATTCAGGTTTTATTTTAATAATTAATAAAAGAAAACTCGCCTCTAATCGCCGCAAATTGTAAGCAGACATGTGTTTTGCATACTTTTTATTTTGGGTCATTATCAACAGCGGGCATAGAGCCTCCTTTTATTTTTTCTATGTATAAGTATGCAACATTAACTTTAACAGTTTAACATTAGAATAACAGAAAATTGGTATCATTTTAACAAAACAAATTTATTGCTTTTTTTGAGCGAGTCCACCTTTTTTCCATAAGCATTAAAATCAACTTAGTTTTAATAAAAAGATATCACACTTGCTCCAGTTCTTTTACGATTTAACGCGTTTTTTTCTAAAGTTAAAATAAACAGAAAGGTCTAGTTTTTTCTACGCTATCAATTTCTTAAGATGTTATTGCGACAAATGATAATAAAAAAAATACTAAAAGACGAAAAATTGATTTATCAATACTTCAAATGATTCACTTCCGAACCTTTGCCTCCACATTTGGTTTATCAAAAAATCTGGTACTTCTGACAAATTACACAATTGCGCTTCTTCGCAAATACGTAAAGCTGTTGCCCAAATGGTTTCCAAATTTTTTGACAAAATCACTCGTTCGTTATCGAACTGACTTAATATTAAAGTACTTACTATCGTTGGATAAGAATCCCTTAAAGGTTGTAAACTTTGCAAAGAACATACCGAAGAAAAATAATTGCAAACAAGTATGGAACCAGGACGAACAATTTTTCTAATCGTCTCCATAGCCGTTTTATTTGCTAATTCTTCTTGATCAGTGGTGTAATAGCGGTTTAGAGAATGAAACCAATATCGAGGAGGTACGTCCTATAAAAATATGTATGTGTATACTCAACATAGAATTTTTACAAATTAAAACTTTAATAAGGTATTTAAGCATAATAAGGAGGTAATTCAGTTTTTCTAATATAAAGTAGTCATTAGAAAAGAACACTATTATGCGTCATTGGTAATTTAAAAGTTTCACAAAACGAAAATACGGAAACGCACTACGATTTTCGCATTAAGTGTAATACAAATCTCACAAATTAAAAAGTTATTTTATATTGGCGAATGTCCGAACGCACAACAGTATTAATAAATATCTTGGTTTCAACTAGCGTGTTTGGCATTTACCTATTGCGATTTCCTAGAGAATATTTATTAATTTTGATCTTTCACACCCTCTTTTTATGTACAGGAGGGGTAAATGTAATTTGTGTAGGACAACTCGGTAACTTTGTAACTCTGTATCTTGTATTGTATACAATCTCTTATAGTAGCGTTAGTCATTAAAATTTTCTTGATGCAGGTGGTAACTTAAAACACGTTGTCTGCTAAAGTACACCTAACACTGAGTTCTTACGGTACGACGAGGGTGCTATCACACCGGTAGTGCTTGTTCTTGCCAGAAAATTCCGCCACTGCTGGTGTAAGTTTCATCTGTTCAAATAGGGAAGAATGGACCTTTAAAATAATCAACCGGTAATCATTATCATATAGATGACAGATGTCTAATCCAATCTAATTCAACCAATGTTGAAAATGCAAGGGGTAAACTACCAAAAGATTATTTTCGTACTTAAATGTTTATCCATCAAATACGACCCCAAATATTATATTTATTTGACGAGAGGAAAAAATAATTTTTTTAACTAAAGCATAGACAAACTATGCTTCTTATAACTCGAAAGGGGATGATTTTTTTTTAATTTTTCCGAAACCACTTAATTCTATGTAAAAAGAGTATCTGAAGAACGTACGTCGTTTTTTTCCAATGTTGCAAACAACAATGATATGGACATATAGCTAAAACTCGAAATTTTCAACTTTTGCTTATAACTCGAAAACAAAAGACGATGGCAAGTTTTTTTAACACCAATTTTATCTCAATAAAAGAGATCTAGAAGCCGCCCTTAATTTTTTGTATCTCTTATAGTTACCGAGTTGTCCTACATAAACGTCGAAATTTGTCCACCGTATACATGTAAATACGTTTATATAAAATTAGATAGAGTAAAATTAGATTATAATGTACTCAAGAGGATCATAAAAGCCAAAGTTCATTAAAAGAATTAGACACATATGGCTTAGTCAGCCAGAACTTTTAATATGACAATAGTGTACATTATAAGTGCATTCAAAGATACCTTTACTTCAGCCAGACAAAGAATTGGTGTGTGAGAACTACTAGATGATGTAGTTTTTGTAAATTCTGCACAACCTTCAGGATAAACCAATACAAGTACAATTACTCCAGGGCCACCAAGTTGCCACTCAGCCTTGTGCTTTTCAATAAAACTATTTGCTATTCGTGAACACAAATTAAATGTTGATATTACAACATGTTTTCTAACATCTGCAAGAAAATATTCTAATTGAAAGAATTACATATACATTAAACATTGAGCATTACAAAATGCGTAGAAACTAAATTTATTTACCTCGAACTGCTTTCCAATAATGCTATGCAGAACAAAAAACATTGTTTATTGAATATTAATGATATATCTATTAATAAAACTTTTATTTTGTATTTCAAACATTGAAAAACATAGTTACATCTAACAACTCACTCAATATTTTACTGATAGTGTCACTATCAGTTCCTTTCGACCATCCCAAAACAGATCGTATAGCATCTTTAAATGTACATTTGATATCATGAAAAACTGAATTTTCCCTTATTCCCTTGCGCTTGTGACAACCTGCACATTTCCAAGTAAAATTATCTAAACCTTTTGTTGGTTCCCAAGACATTGGTCTTCTACATTTATCACTTGTACCTGCTCCTTGGCATGTCTGCCTTTGAGGAATAATACCTACTAATTTTAACCAGTTTATAAGTTCAACTTCATGCCCAGGTGCTAGCATTGGATGAATGACACTTTTAAAGTAGCCTGATTCACTAAAATTATTACTATTTGTATTAGTGTAACAATTCTAAAAATTTAGATTATTTTACTTAAAAAAATGTATATCTGAAGCAGCAATAAGTATACTTATTATGCAAATATCATTACCTGTCGAAAACTTCTAATGTAAGTTTATCATTTTGAGAGTCTTTTATTTTTATTTGTGTTTCTTCGTATAACTTCATTTCATTAGTTAATATATCAAACAAAACATAAATATTGTACTTAACCTTATCAATTAAGAATATGATTGATACCATAGATTAATACTATGGATCCATAGACATATATTAATGGACGTGCCTTAGCCGTATGTCATTGTAATAATTTCTTGGCTCGAAAAGTGAGGGAGATGGCGTATGGTTTCGGACTAATGCTTTCTCTTTCATGACACGCTTTCGCACTATCATGAGAGAGATAGGTATTGTCCGAAACTTCGTTCCATCTCCTTCTTTCATTGCACAACAATTCTGACCGCTAAGGCACGTCCATTAGTAGACGTCGATGTATGGATCAATATATGATTATAGATATGAGATATTATAGTCATAGATAATAGATATACAAATACATAGATCATAGATATAGTAACATATAGACAATTTTAACAACTTAAATCATAAATAAAATTAAAGACTATTAAACAATGAAAGAGAGGGGACTCGTAACAGTCATATCATGGTCACATCAAATCATCGCCGAAAATGAGCCCAAAAATCATGTAATTGGTGACAGGTGCCACGAAATTTGTTATGTATTTCTGAGAGATTAGTCGATGAAAAACGGTAATATTAGTTTTTACTGATAATAGCAGTACTCAAGTAAAAATGGCCTTGAAATAAAAGTTTTGAGTAATATGAGCTAAAGCTTCGATGATATAGTAAAATATATGAACATCCCGAACCATCGGCAAGCAGAGGCGGATTAAACGTCGAGAGCGCCCTAGACAAATACCTCATCGGCGCCTTTCTGGCAGCCGTAGATTAAAAATTATAACTAGTACTACGTAGTATAGTATACATTAATGATGATCAGGTCCCTAGCAAAGTATTCTGTTTGAGGGGGGGGCAACCGAATAACCAATTGCTGTTCTTTATTTTCCCAACTAAAATCCTATATTTTTAACAAACATTGAACCTTTCATGTTTTCTATCAATATAAAATGCATGTATTATACAGGGTATCTCACGGCAGAGTTAAAATTTTAAAGTTGAATATTTAAAAGACCCTTTGGATTGAGTTTAGAGGGAAGGGTGAAGTATATTCATTCTTCACGCAAATTTACCAATTGCGATGTCGAATTGATTGAGTGCCCATCGAGCTTACATAGCGTAAGTAAGCGTTCCTCAAGTGAAAATTTGATTCGTAAATGGGTCCAGAAGTTTCGAGCTACAGGTTTCCCCTTAGCTACATCCGGTACCGAGCAGAACATCAAGAATTGAAGAAACAGTAAATGAAGTTGCAGCTAGCGTAAATGAAAACCTAAAAAATTCAGTCTTCACATTTTAACCATTAGAATGGAGTCATCCGACGCACCCAGTTCTAACCTCATACAACTGGTAATTGTAAGATTAAATGTACGAATAAGTTTTTTAATTGAAATTTAATTGTAGCGGTTTGTGGAATACTTTTCTTTAAAATGGTAGAGACAATTTCGATAGGATTTTATAAACATATATTGAATATAAAGATAGAAGACGAAAAATTAGAAAAAGTGGCTGATTTTAGATATCTAGGAAGTCAGATAAGTCAGGACGGAAGGAGTAGTAGGGATATAAAGCTGAGAATAGCCCAGGGTCGTGTCGTCTTTAATAAAAAGAAGTCACTTCTATGCTCGCGAATGGTTTATTTAGAAATTCGAAAAAGGTTGTTAAAGGTGTATGTTTGGAGTGCGGCATTGTACGGGTGCGAAACATGGACAGTGGGCGCGGCGAAAAAGAAAAGGTTAGAAGCGTTCGAAATGTAGTGTTATAGGCGAATGATGAGGATAACGTGGGTAGAAAAGCCTAGAAATGAAAAGTTATTAGAAAGAATAGGAGAACAGAGGACTCTATGGAAGTCAATAAAAAATAGGCGAGATAGGTTGGTAGGACACCTTCTCAGGCATGAGACATATTAAAAGCAGAAGCAGGAGTTAGGAGGGGTAGAGGTAAACCAAGGTTAGATTACTGCTCGCAAATAGTTAAGGATGTGGGTTGTTCTAGTTTTAGGGAAATCCGAAGTTTAGCTCAGGATTGAAAAGAGTGTAGGTACGTGTCCAACCAGTCTTAGGACTGACGATCTTATGATGATCAAAGGAAGTTGATATGAGTGATCTAGGCTAATTAACTTACCATTGTTTGGAAGGAGTAATATTGAAAACTGTGTAGTTACACTTCGTACCGCGCAAATATTCCACCTGTTTTATTCCCATTTCATATCGCAGCCTTACAACATAATTATGTTCCCATTTCGTACTGCTAAAAATATACTTTCGTAATTGTAAGATTTCTAATTATTAGTAAACAACGGGTAGATAACTAGACGCAACTGAAGATGGATTCTTATATATTATATCCAGAAAATAAAGTATTAGGTACGACGATTTACCCATTATTTTGCCGGCTAGGTCAATTGGATTTGTTTTATCATTAGAGAAAAACACACAACAACTAAGTACAAAAGCATGGCACAGTAAACTGAACCGAGCAATTAACGAACCTCACTCCAATTTATCAGAATATTATTAAAGGACCGAAAGAAAAATCTATAAATGCAGGGTTTATTAAACAACGTGCAGATCTTCATTTGACGCCCTCAAAAAGACGAAAAATTTACAAAAATATTGATATTTCATTGTAACAAACAGTGATAGATTTTTTGCAAGTAAACAAAACAATNGGTGCTTGCATGTCTGTTGTCGCGATGTAAGAAAAAATTAACTAAAAAATGTTTGAAATCTCCTACAATATATTCGAAAGTTCCCCAATTTGGTAATTTGACGCCCTCAAAAAGACGAAAAATTTACAAAAATATTGATATTTCATTGTAACAAACAGTGATAGATTTTTTGCAAGTAAACAAAACAATTGGGACATGCTTAGAAATTTATAATATAAGTTACAAGCCGGTACGAAGTGGTAATAAATAAGCCTTCAAAACGACTGAATCGCTTTTGAGGGCACTTTACAGATACGAACTAGAGGTTGTCTGGAATCATCTAGACCACCCTTTTTATTTATCTATTTAGCTGTTCGTATGAACTAACCTTTGAAACAGTTGAACCAGAGAACGAAGTCGAGAAGTAAAGTAAAAATATGTACGACTTCTAAATCTAGTTTATTATTCTAACAATTAATATACAAAATTATCGTAAATAATAAATAATAATTTGTAAAATATAACTTAGTCCATCACTTGCACATCATGCTTTCGTGTTCACAAAAGACTATTGTCTGTTCCTCATCACGAAATGAATAACTACATTCCTCATGAGTATCTGAAAATAATCATTTATTGTGACTTAAAATTAAATAAATAAATATACAACTTAGAATTGTTATACATCCATTCTCTATGCTTGTAACGCCTCATGAATATTTTTCCTGAATTTATTAATTGTATGCATTTGGTTTAAAAAGTTACTTTTATTTAGCTCTGAACAAAATTCATAATGGATGTGAATTTTAGAAAAGTACCGATTTGTTACTTTCAAAATTTAGTAAATCTCCAACAAATCTTTAACACCTATAGTTTTTATTTGTACCTGTTCTTCTATTAATGCAGTATGGTACGGTCTTAATGGGCTACAATACTTACACATTGTATTTATAACTGACAGAATTAAATTAATATAAAATTTAAAGTTCAGACCGACATTTAACATGTCCATAATATTAGTCCTATTTAAGATATTTAATAAAAAAATTATGTGCGAAGATATGCCCGGTATTTGCTACGAAACCTTTCTTTCGTCCGTAGAATCCGTAAATATGAAATTTTTTCTTGATGTTCTATTGCAATGACAGGATGACAGCACATAATGAGTACATTACAACAAATAACGGGTCAACTTAAAAAAGGACTTTCTTATTATAATTATTTATTATATCCGTTGAATTTTTTTCAACGTAGCACAAATAGCACACTTTTTTAATAAATAAAATTAAAATTACCGAACTAATACTACGAAAAAAAAATTCTTTTGATCGTAGAATTCTTATAATTTTTTTTTATTTTGCAAATGGCAACACATAATGGTACATTACGGTACAATTTTTGTAGTTTTGATAAAGAAAAATGACGGGGCCAACTTAGCTAAGGACCTCCTCATAAAAATTATAGTTTTAGAATTTTTTTTTAATATAGCACATTTTTTTTTATTAAAACATCATGGAAGGTCCAATGTGATATGCACTTGCCTTGAAACTTTTTTTTGTAATTGTCACCTTACTTCTGCTTTTACAAAAGCAAATAGTAAGTACCTATCACAAGACAAATCCCCTGCATAAACAATATTGCATAAACCGACAGAGACAATATAACAAAATACAAAAGCAACACACTAAGACTCATTTTTTATTATTCCAAATAAAGAAAACAAGATATCTATTTATAAATTACAGTTTTTCTTTACATTAAACAATCAATAAAGTACTTTAAGTTCCCAAATCTATAATTAACAGAAACGTATCTACATTAACCTGCAAACTTACGCCTACTTTTACGATTTCTTAACTTAGTAAAAAAAAGAAAAACTCGTCTCGACTGCAATTGATAAACATAAAATAATGAACTGACAAAATTTTGCGATAATTTGCACAGAAACCAGTTGCGCATATTAGAACTAAAATACTCATTTTTTTTTTTTAAATGAAAATCTGAAGAGCAATTACGATTTTATCATTACATTCCAAGGTAATAAAAGTGTTATCATTACAAGGAGGAGAATATTTATTCCAATGATCTTTTCAAAAAGTAGGATGCTTTGGAATGATAATTTAATTAAAAATGTGCGCTTTGTCTATAGGACAGTGAAACAAAGACAGCAATTATTAAAAACCGAATTTCGTATTTCATGTACGCTTAAAAGACTTCTTATTCTTTTAAAAAGAAAAGCAAAATTTTAAAACGAATATTAGGTACAGGGACATACGACGATTTTCACAACCAGATGTGTCCCAACATATCACATAATCATATTAAACAAAACACAATATGCACGTATGTAAATAATACATGTCGGTTTGTGGGGTGAAATGACTCAACACGAGGAACTGGGTGTTAAACGGTGCGTGCTCGGTGTTCTATTGGACGCGTTCATATTTTTCCGCAAAGTAAGAAACGACAAGAACGGAGTGCTGCAATACGCAAAACAGTCGCGCAGTCGCATAAGCGCTTTCCCACAGTGCGCAATACAGCCGCGCATACACGCGCCCACCAAACCGAGCCGACGTCGCTAACACAGGATTCCCCGGTCAACTGTAATAGGTGGTGTTTTAGCGACAGGTGTATGAGATAAATGTCGGCAGGAGGGCCCGCATTGACAATTGGCGTACGTACGGACTGGGGAATCACCAAAACTGTTCCCATTCATTGACTCCGCAGAAGAAAAAGCCTTTCTCTGTGGCTTAGGCGTGCCGTGATGTGAAACGCATGATGTATTCGTTGTAGATGATTTTCTTTGGTGATGTATAGAATTGTTGGACGTAGGTTCATTTGCATTTATAATTTCTGCTGTAGTGCTAAATTCCAGGGCCGGAAGAATGTTAACTTTTGATGATATCCATGGATGTTCCAATAAATCTCTAACGCTCGGTCGTTTTCTGTAATAAAATAGGTATGTCATTTAATAAATTTTTATGTGATATTCGCTTAAAATCTGCTCTACCAAAGGTTAAATCTATTATCACCATTTTATAATTGGCAAATTCAAATATCTGTACATTGTACATCATGATATAACGCAATTAGAAATAGTTGTTCTAAGTATTACTTAAGTATGAAAGCCAATTTTATTACCTGGGATCGACCACAAGAGCAGACGTAATGAAATCAATTGCTATGGAGGAGACATCTTCAAACAAATCAGGATCGAACGAAAGTGCACATTTTGAAATATTGAGGTAGGTTTGTTGTTTATCTGCTGAGCCGAACGGAGAGTAGCCTGTTAGAAGAACGTATGTGAGAACACCCACTGACCATATATCTGTCGCTAGACTTATAGGTTCATAACTTAAAACTTCTGGTGCAACGTAATCTGGTGTGCCAATTAATTCGCGCACTTCAACTCCGGGTTCTAATACTCTGTAACAAAAAAATTATCTATCAGATGTGGATCGCGATTTCGAATTTATTAGTTCTCAACAGCACACAGGTGGTTTTGATAAATCACTGACTAAAGTTATTCCCCTAAAAGCAAAGACTACCCAAATATTAGCAGTATACGACAATATATGTACACTATCTTTACTTTAATAAATTACTTCAATTTACTTTACGGAAAAACTTCCGTCTTGTCAATTGCATCAAGATCTTACAATTGATACTCTTTACCTACGATTTTCGTTATAGTTTTCCTGTAAACTGTTAAATACTCGTAAGACACTACAATTATTAGAGGGGAAAAGAATACTTCATTTTCGCATATTTGAAAATATTTTTGTGGTCCTCCTAACAAATCTTTTAAATAGTACCTACCATATGTGATATATAAAATTTAAAAACAAATCAAGTGGGAATGTTTTAAGTAAACAAATGTAAAATATTTGAGTTAATATACATAATGTTACTTTTCAAGTTTCTACCTCGCATTTCTCGAAAAATTAATTCTAACAATTTAACAGACGAACGAAGTAACACGTATTATAATATAACGTTATATTTTTATTATTAGAAATATCAATTTTTATCAAGTAAAACCGAAGCATAGGTATATTTGATATATTTTTGGGAAAAATGTGACATATGCACATTTTCAAAGCATTTCTTATGCAAAAAATTCAGTTTTAGTTATAAGGGATTCCGTTTTCCTTTTGTGGTGCAGAACCCTAAAAGGAATGAATATGCGCTACAGATACCAGTATACAAGTAAATAATACCTTCAAATTATAAGAAAAGTTAAATTCTTTTGCAAAAGAAGCAAAGTAGCACCAGACAATGGCAATTTGTATATCGAACAATAATTTGTAGTGGGACTATTTTGTTACTGTAAACTGGTGGTTAATCCGACATCTTACTTGCTTCTAAGTTTGAAAGATGGGGAAACGGTCACTGTTTGGCTTCTATGACTATGATAATGATTAAATGAAGCCACACAGTCATGCTTTTTATCTCAAATTTCACGTGACCTGTAAATCACCTTGCAAGCTACAAAACTTCCATTCTATAATATAACTAAGATAAATTTGAGTTCTTTTCGCTACAATATTTAATTTTCTAACCATATATATGTGTAAAAAGTGTAATAGGATAGACGACCACATAATATTTTGTATCATCTGTAAAAAATTGTTAAATTTGTGGGATTCCGATGTTCGATATGGACCATAAAAATATTAACTTGCAGAACTTTCTACACGTGGCGTTTATTACGCTGTTTGTATTAACTCATAAAACTTTGTCTAAAGGCTACGTATATAGTTGTCGTGTATTCTGCTGGAACTGATTACGACATACTGACGAGATCCAATGAGATTGAAATCGCGATCCATGTCTGACGATTTTGACAGAATACTATCATGACCTTTTTGTTCTGTTTAGTGACGTGTCGATCACATAGAGGTAGCTACCCCGCGGTTCAAGAAGTTGGTATCTTAATGGACCTTGTCGAACATTTTTGAATCCTACAAATTGTAGCAATTCACTAAGCGAATTGTAGTAATTTTTCAATAAATGGTTGGTACCTACTACATCTTACTATTATTGTTTAACACTATGAAAATGTATAGAGTTTATGTCTACCGCTATTGCAGCGTTCATAAAAAAAAAGATGTTTATTAATTTTGGCTTTTGAGTATAAACCAGATTATCGATGGCCAAACTAATACAATATGTAACGAAAATATACTTTAAGGCGTCTACCAAAATTATTACTGAGTCGTGCAAAAAGATCGATATTTGGCTTATTTCATTTGCAACTAAACATAATCTTACGGTCGTGCAAATCGTTAGCGTTCTGCACTGGCGATTAATACAAGCGTTGTTTCATATAACCTCATGCAAAGAAGTCAAGTAGATTTAGATCCAGAGTACGCCCTGTACGCCTAATCCAGCACCTATTAAACTATTCGTCTAGAAATTCACACACTGGTCAATGTAATAATAAATAGTATTCTGCACTGACCTATAACACTGACACACTGACGTATTACTGATGACTTCCAGTGACTATAACGTTAAAAGAACAAAGAACTACTCTAGATTGACAGTTACATAAACATTGTCAATCATACTTAATCTAACAAATAACAAACAATGCATGAATCAAAAATACAAAATGAAATACAACATGGATGCTGTTAATTACCAGCTCATTAAATGCGGCGTTGCATTGTCGTATTTCCTAGTAGGGCCGGACCGGCCCTTGCCTGTACTTTCAAATACGTTTCTCTAGAAAACAATGAAGGGAAAGGTGCGCGTACGAAATTAAGTATGAGACGTTGGTAAACTCATCTAAACCACACAATCAACAAAAATGTTGCATTACATGTTTGGTTCGTAGTCTGTACGCAGATTAGCGATAACATTAAAATATGCATATAGTTATTATGAAACAACTGAGTTGGAAATGTTTCTATTTACCTTGAAATGCCAAAATCGCATAATTTGACATCTTCGCAGCTTCCTTCATGTGCTAATAATAAATTCTGCGGCTTGAGATCAAGATGTACTATTCGGCGTTCATGCAAGAAAGAAAGACCGTCAAGAATCTGCCGCATAGCGCGTTTAGCTTCAGGTTCGTTTAGACATTCATCGCCCTCAAGCACACGCTGTAGTTCGCCGCCAGCAGCCAACTCCAGCACCAGGACCACGTCGAGTCCTGCTTCAAACACTTCATGCAACTTGACGACTCGACCACTCCCTGCACATTTCAAAAGAACTGCTATCTCGTGTTGGATTTCGCGGTTTTGTTCAGCCGCCCGGCGCCGTCTTCTTATGAATTTGGCAGCATATTGAATACCAGTGGCACGATGTGTGGCACGTCTCACCGTTGCAAATTTGCCTCTGTAATAATATAAAACGATATCAATTAGAAGAGTACCAACAAATATTCATCAGTACATTTTTTATAAGGAAAAAATGTATCAAATGCTTTTAATACCAATTGAGCTTTAAATAATCTGCCATTACACCACTGATTACCCAGTCGAACAAAATAATTGGAAGTGGTCTGTAGTCTGTCGAAACTGCCAGACGCGGATCGCCATTTCGATCTTTTTGGATCTCATCAGCGCGTCGCAGGCAGCCCGACAGAACACAGACCAACTTTTATCTGCTGTCTTAACAGTGCGTTTTAGAAAATACTACAAATGGCGCAGTAAACGCCATCTGTAGCACGATGCTACATTTTAGGATTACGTATGCTCCAACAAGGTCCACTTGTGTGGATATCTAC